TGATTTATTTAGATTCAATTCCTACTATTGATTTGGTAAATCATTATATATGTTCTTCTAGAGTCACATAAATTGCATCAGGACTAAAAATTAATCTATAAACTATTGATGTTATAGTTGATGGAGATGCTCTTATTCAAGAATTGCTAGTTGAGACAACTTTGATACCAAATCTTAATCAACATCAATAGGTCAAAGTTGTTAAATGGTTATTTGACACTCCAAAGTAGATAGCTATTGTGAAAGTCTTTCCAATTGAGAAAAAAATGACTTATGTTTTAACATATATTTCTTGATGTAATTTTTTTAAACATAATTTCTTACTTTTAAATTAATTTGATTGATTGTTACAAGTTAACTCTCTAACTTTTTCATGTATTTCGTATATATATTCCATGTTTGGAGCTTTTAAGTATTCCAGCAATACTTGATGTTACCATTAGGTCAATTACTTTATAAGTTTTATACTTAGCTCGTACAGTTATTATTCATGGACAATATTTTTGGCAACTTTCTTATTTTTAGTGAATCTCATGATGGCAACCTGTTCTGCCTTTTTAATCGGTTGTTGTTCATGGATAATGTAGTTTAATGACCACTTTTCTCATTATAGGATCTCATTTAAATTTTCCTATTCAGTTTCCTTTTTCTCTCTTTATTCTATTATGTTTTTGATTTGGATTAATACCTTTTCTAAGATGACATACAATAGTTCTAGTGTTACTCTACTAGACATTTATTGTAGTTTATGATATCTTATATACTTGTGTAAGTTTTGAAGGATGATAACAAAAAACTTATTACTTGACTTTTGATCTTTGATTTTATTATAATTGTTATTTGTTTTTATTTTTATGTAGATTTTATATCTATGGGGCGACGAAGATCTTTGGTATATGTGATCATGATATCTTTGAGAAACTCTCTCTTCTCTCTCTCTCTCTCTCCCTCTCTCTCTCTCTCTCCTCTCTCTCTCTCTCTCTCTCTTTGTTATCTTGATATGGACATTTATACAATTGAGATTTTATTAGTGTTTATTTTGAATTGTATATGATAATGTGATTTTGAACCATTTATAGTCAAAGTTAAAAACTCCTATTTTTTTCTTCTTAATTTAAAATGGACTCACTTTGTACCATGAATCAATGTATTAATTGTTTTAGATGTTAATGATGTTTTGAAGTTTTAAAATATATCATGAATTTAAAATATTTTGTAGATTTATTAAAAAAAATTAAATATACTGTCTAGTATTATTTATGAATTATTAAAAAATTTAATATTAAAATTAATTTCTAATTATTAAATATTTGTTAATAAAATTTAATATTAAACTTTAATTTTTTGAATAAATATTTAAAAATAAATTTTTACTCAATAAAAGTTGAAATACTCTATCCAAATAAGTTAATTCAAATATAACTACAAATCATTGAAAAATGCTCTACTCAATTAAAATATTTTAAAAAAATTCAATTAAAAATAAATCAAATTCTAAAACTTTAAAATTTTCTGTATTTTTAAAATATCGCATGCAAACACACCATAAGAGTTTATACTAACAAGATATTATGTTTCTCTGGTAAATAACTTTCTCAACATAGAAAATTGATATATATATCCAATATATCAATTGTTTGTATAGTACATTTTATATATTGTTAATAAATAACTTATACTGTTTGTACTTATTGTTCATTTTATTTAGGGAAAAAACTACACTAACGAGGGTTAATCAAACAAAAAACTGTTAATAAATAATTTTTTTAGTTATTTTTGTTGATAATTATTTTTGGTTTTTCCACTCAAAAAAAGTTTGCTGAATAAGGAATACACCATGCATGTTGAATAATCATTTCACCATTTATTTAATCCGTATTAATAATTTATGAGGACAGGAAAACCAGTATCGAAAGTTTTGGTCCCTAAAGATAAGTACTAAGAATTAAATAAGTTATCCAATATATTTTAATTGATCAACTAAATATTTGTAAGAGCCCACCCTGCTTGATATGTATATGGTCAATATTATAAAAATTGAACAACAATACACGAGATCTCGTTATTTATATGTATCATGTCATAATAATTTGACAACTTTCCTTTTATATACAAATGGCACATGCACATGTTTTATGGAAGAAAATAATTAGAGCGGATTTGATGATAAAATTGAAATAGTACAAAGTTTTAAATTTAAAATTTGATATTATCATTATAATTTTGATGGATAAAAAAATATATTAATTGAATGATAATTATTAAAAAAAAAATGCTTTTAGTCCTTTAAATTTAAGAAACATTTATTTTTATCTCTCAAATTTAAAATTATTGTTTTTAGTCCCTGTAATTTTAAAAAAATTTATTTTAATTTTTATATTTAAAATTTGTTAAGAAATTTATCAAATATTATTGTATAAAATTTACATACTAATATTCTTATTAGTGAAAACATCACATTAAATTTAATTGATATTATTTAACCATCTTAATTTATCACTTTCAGACATGTTATTGATGATTTAAAGAACTAAAACAAAATTTTTAAAATTTTCAGAAACTAAAATCAACCGTCTCAAATTTGAGGGATAAAAACAAAATCTTAAATTTAAAGGACTAAAAACATATTTAAGCCTTAAAAAATTCATGATTATTTGCTAATAAATAAATTGTTGCATGTATAGTCTTAAAAAAAATGTTACGTGCATATTAAAAAGGAAACTAGATTCGCTTGTCATAATATTTAATTTATGAAAAGTAATTAATTAAATACTTAATTTATAACAAGAGTTGATTAGGAAAAATATTATAAAAATAATAAAATAATATATATAACTAATTTTTTTAATATATGTAAAGTGAATCTTTTTCTCATAATCTATATTAATGTATAAAAGGAATACTTGAATGTGTAACTACCTTTAGTGTCCACTTTTTAATAGATCATTATATCCCTCAAACATAAAAAAAAATCTTATATATTCTTTCTAAATAATTACACACAATCTTTTATATTTTTATTTATGTATAATTATTAGTAGGGGTGAGCATTAAACCGACACCCGAACCGAACCTGAAAAACCCGAAAAAAAATATTACTTTTGGGTGGGTTCGGACGGGTCTTATGGGTAAATCGGTTAAAATTTTGATTTTATACGGGTTATATTGGGCGGGTTCGGGTTTGAATTTTTAAACCCGCTAAAAAACGAACCCAACCGAAAATGAGATAAGTTTAAATTTTTATTACTTTTGTATAACTAAACAACAATGGTCCAAATTTAAAAGTCTTTATTTCAAGTATAATATAGCCATCTATTTGTAACTTATTTTTTTCCTTTTTCTCATAACTTAGATATTTATTTTGTCTTCTCCTTCCTCATTCAACTTCTCAACACACTAGTCCATTTTTAGAGTTATCTTTTTGCTTCTTTCTTTGTCTTTCTTTTCCATCTTCTTATCTCCATTTTGAGTACATTTTGTGTGACTGTGATTTCTTATGGTTTTGTAATCTAACTTTATATTTCTTTTCCATGTAACAACTATGAATTTTGTTATCTTTTATTTTTGCTTCTTTAGTTTGTAAATGTTTCAACTACGAATCTATTTACACCATCTATTGTCACCTTCATTCTATTTTTATACACTATTTTAAAAATATTTTTTTATCGTTTTAAGCTTCATCTTCGTTAAGATAAATTGGTCTACAAAAAAATTCAAACCCGATTATACCCACCCGCTTAAATCCGAATCCGTTTCAACCCGAACCGCCTCAAATCGAAAGCTCAGTCGGTCGGATATGAGTCACATTTTTTCAAAGTCGGTTTACAACGGGTTGGACATTTTTCACCCAAACCCGACCAAACCCACCCATTACTCACCCCTAATTATTAGAGACACGCCTCGACTTTTCTAGTTAAATATAAAGAAAATAATAATAAATATTATATTTATATTATAAGTAAACGTAATTTTTACAATAATTATATTATTATAAGATATATGTCATTACATAATAATATATTTATTTTGTAGTGTAATCATGTAATCCTAAGAAAAGAAATTATTTTTTTCTCAATTATAAAAATGATTATAAAGAAGTACAAGATATTTGACCCAAATTTTATAACAAAGTTATATACTTTTAGACAGTAAAAAAAAAAATGGAAAGTAAAGGAGTCATCGGCTAGTCTTACTATTGTCTTTATCCGAAAAGGACAGAAGCAATGCCATGCAACATGTGCAAGCCGTGAGACTCTAGAGTCTCTTGAGAACCATAAATTAATTGATGAGAGAGAGAAACAGATTAAAAATCATTAAGGCTGCTACGGGCCATGTAGCACAAGTAAGTCTTTTAATTCTTCCGAATGGCAACAAATATCAGTGTTAGGCACACCACACCCATGTAGTTTTCAAAGTTTAGACGATAAATGACAAATTAGAAATACCCAACAATTTAATCAACATGTCTTCCTCTTTCAATATTTTAAAATTATTAGCTAGCAAGATCACCTTACACACTCTAAATAATTAAAGGTTCAAGTCACAAATCAGAATTAATAGCTTCTTTAAATATTTTTCGCTAAGCTAGCAGCCCCGTCAAATCTAAATCTGAATTCCAAACCCCACTTGGATCTAATCGGTAAAAATATAATAAAAATTATTTATTTAAACAAAGACCAATTTTCATAATTTATGGCTTTAATCTCTGTTTTCGAACGTGAATATCGGGGAATGTAGTTTTCTCTGCACGCATATTTAATTTTCCTTTCCTTTTATCTAATTAAATATTGACCATTTATCAAAAAGATTGCCATACACTTTTGTATTTTAATCGATATTTTTTCTTTTGTGATAGGTCATTAGGTTTTGGTCAGAAAAGAGAAAGAGAACAGCAGCTAGCTAATTGGAATGCAGATTTTGAAAAGAAATTTACCAAGATGATTAGTTGGTGTTGAATGGGGTAAAAGAATGTATCTATAAAAGGGGTGGCACTTGGTTCAGAAAGAGCATAAGAAAACCCCACCTTGTAGAGGGGAAAAACAATGGGGTCTCTCATGGCCTCTGCCACACTGACTCTTGTATTGGCAATAGTTTCTCTAAGCTTGCCATCTCAAATCTCAGCAGACAACTACTTGTATTCATCACCTCCACCACCCAAGAAGTACCCTCCTCCATACCACTATCCTTCACCACCTCCTCCAGTTAAGAAGCCTTATTACTACCACTCTCCTCCACCCCCTTCACCTCCTCCACCTAAGCCATACTACTACCACTCTCCTCCTCCACCACCACCAAAAAAGAAGCCTTACTACTATCACTCTCCACCACCACCCTCACCTCCTCCACCTAAGAAGCCATATTACTACCATTCTCCACCTCCACCTTCACCTCCCCCACCCAAGAAGCCTTACTACTACCATTCCCCACCCCCACCACCCAAGAAGCCATATTATTACCACTCTCCACCACCTCCTTCACCTCCTCCACCAAAGAAGCCATACTACTATCACTCACCACCCCCACCTTCACCTCCACCCCCAAAGAAGCCTTACTACTACCACTCTCCACCCCCACCACCTAAGAAGCCTTACTACTACCACTCCCCACCACCACCTTCCCCTCCTCCACAGAAAGCATGAGATTTCAGCTAATGAGGCCATTAGGGAAGCCTTATCTGTGTATGAGTCCCTTGGTGAACTGCGCAAACAGGAGGCTGCATATGCTTACTTCCAATTGGCTTGCTATCAGAGAGACTGTTGTTTGAAATTTATGAATTCTGGCAATAAGAAAAGCATTTTGCCACCCCCAACCCCAACCACACCCTCACCCTCCCTACATTTACCACTCTCCTCCACCACCCCCTAAGAAGCCATACAAGTACCCATCTCCACCACCTCCAGTACACCCTTACCCTCACCCACACCCTCACCCCCACCCTCTTCCACACCCCCACCCACATCCTCTCCCCCATCCCCACCCTCTTCCACACCCTCACCCTCACCCTCTCCCACACCCACACCCACACCCACACCCTCTTCCTCACCCTCATCCTCCTTATGTGTACCACTCTCCTCCTCCACCCCCTAAGAAGCCCTACAAGTACCCATCTCCTCCACCACCAGTTCACCCACCTTACATTCCTCACCCAGTCTACCACTCTCCACCTCCTCCTCACAAGAAGCCTTACATTTATGCATCACCTCCTCCGCCTTACCACTACTAGATACTGCTTCCTCAACTTAATTACCATACCTCTGTGGTAAGCTTATTCTCTATACTTTCCATATTACTATAATAATCACTACACATTTTCATCTTCTAACTTAACACAATATTGTTTAACATGTTTTGTTCTCAATAAAAACTAAGAAAACACTGATACGAAAATGATTTCTCACGTTCGGTTTCAGTCGAGGGACCACTTTCTGACGTTGACCGATGGACACACTAATAATATGTGAATGTGTTCGTATTTTTGTAGGATGTGCAAATAAAGAAAGCGATGGAAGAGTTCGCAATGCACGCACGAAAGAGAAAAATGGAAGCAAAGTTTCCGCGTTTTGTCTTTCATCAAAATATTTATTTCTTTTCTATCATAGCTGCTCTTTTTCTTTATTTTATAAGTTTCGCTGTATTTTAATTTTTATTTAAACGTTTGTAAAGCTCTGCATGCTCATGTACGCACTCCTGTTAATCAATAATACATGCACTGTAGTTTTCAACCAGCTGCGTTTGCAGGGGTTGTAAAACTTATTATATAATTAAATAAATTATATTCTCTCTCTCTCTCTCCATATATCTGTTACTCAAATTTCAAGTAAATCAAGATAATGTTTTCGCGTTTGAAAGAAGAAGAAAAAAATCATTAACAAGTTAAATACTTTTAATCATTTAAAGATTGGATTATTTTATTTCCTTTTCTTTTTGTTGATGTTGTCTACGTGCAGTCTGAATAGTATGTGTGCTCCCGCAGGTAACTTTTTATTTAAAATTGTCGGACGTAAATTGAGAGTGACTGAAAAAAACCCGACAGAGAAATTTAGAAACTGAGCGCCTGCACAATTCAAAGCATTTTCGTCACAAATTATATTTTAAGCCTTTCTAATTAATATCGTAAGTAAAACTTTAGATTAAAAAGATCATGTTTATCATGAATTATAGTCTTGGATGACAGCTTCCTATATTTTTGTCTTGATTTAAATAGGTTTGCAATAAAGTATAAACCATACTATATTTACTAGTTACGATTCAAATGACCTTGATTGGTATGAAATTATGTATTGTATGTCCCATGACAGCTTTTCAAGCTTTCAACGGACTTTTGGGTGGGTCACAGGAAATTTCGTAATTTGAACAGTAGACGAGTGTATATGACGTTCTCAACGAACTTAAAATGAAAAATAAAGATTAGACATTCAATATTTAACAATTATATATATATATATATATATTTAATAATTAAGAGTAATATACATCAACAATTTATAATTAATTTAAAATCTAATGATGTTAGTTTTAGATGTTTTAATTTAATTATTTGATTAAATATTGTTGTGTTGTTCATGTTATTTGAGAACTCTAACGTCAATAGATTCAAAAAGTTAAATTATTTTTGAAGTAGTCTCAGACATAGTTAAGTAGGTTTAGTTCAAGAAGGATATATAATGTTTTCTTAAGACTAGATCTCATAAGTTCACATTTTTAAAAATTTTAGAGAGAAGTTAGTGAAAAGTTTTTTTAGAGTTGTGGGATTCTTGAAGTTGTTTAGGAGTTAAATATCATGATTCTTGATTTTGATGAATGCATGTTGCTTTTGATGGTGGAATTGGGTTGTGGTGTTGTCTAAGTGTTCATGTGAGAAAATTGCTTAGTTTTAGGTAGATTAGGCAAAAATTAAGTTTCTGTGTAGTGCAAAAATTGATATCACATGCTAGGGGTGCCTTCAATTATTAGGTTCTATCTTGCTCACATTGGATGTAAGATTAGTGGTGTCAGACATGAGGAGAGAAAATTGTCTCTACTTGAACTCACACTGAGCACTAGCGGAGTGATGTTAAGTGTGATTCAAGCAGAAACCCTCTACCTAATTGAGGCAAAGCGTGGATTTTGACATACCAAGCATGAGAGGTGGGAGACTCTCTACCTTCGCCATGCGAGGCATGGGAAGTTTGGTATCGAGCATGAGCAAGGAAAGAAATCCCTACCTCAATGGCATCGAACGTGCGTTGAGCGCGAATTGCATGATTTGATGTGTTTTTTAAGTTGTTTTATGATTAAAAGATGATGATTAAGTTGTATGATGAAGATAATATTGTGATAGTTCATTGTGTATCAAGTTGATATACTATATGATTGTGTTTATGTTGTTAAGTTGCAAGTTGATAGATGTTTAAGTTGTGAAGTCGTATGATGCTATATTTGATTAAGATGTTAAAATATTTAGGCATGTGGTGTTGATATATGTCTTTGTTGAGATACATAAAAATTAGAGAGTAAAAGTTGTTTCAGAAATTAGAATAACTCATTGTGTGGATATAAGTTACGATGTTCTGAGAGTCCATGTTAAAACCCTTTAGTAAGTAAGTTGGCTTCTGAATGAGTAATTGTTTAAAAGTAGTATTCTCTAATTTTATGTGGTATCCGTATGTGGGTAAGGTCAAGACATACGTGTATAAAGTGAGCAACTGAGTAAGGTATAGGGTCGAGAACTTAGTCTCCTAAATGGGTACTAGAAGGACGTAGTATTTGGAGGTAATTGATGGGCTAATTTCATAGGAGGTTTAGTGTTCCAAGTTAATATCGTAATATAAACTTATACCTAAACTGTTTTACCCTGACAATAGTACTAGACTTCCTAGTTTAAGTAGCAAAAATTGAAAAATCAAATTAAGTTGTTAAATAGGTTCTCTAAGAGACATGAAGTTGTCTATACCTAACCGGATTACAATAGGTCAAATGTTATGATTCGGTAGGGTCTAGCCATTTAAATTGCTCACCTTTGTTGAAAGAGATCCTTTTATTTGATGTGTGACGACACATTAGTTGATTATTAATGTTGATGTTGAGAATGTGATATGCTGAAATTGTTATATGTTGTATTATGTTGCAAGTTGTTTGTGTAGTACTTGAAGATAAGATTGAAGTTGTTTGGTGAATGAATGTTGTTGTTTAGGTTGTTTAATTTGTTAGTTAATGTTGTTGTTGTTGTTGTGTATGATGATTCTTTTAAGAAGCTTATCCTTTCTTTTCCTTATGGTTGAAACTATAATGATCAGACTTGGTATGAGAGCATGACAAGATTAACAAGATCGCTTGAATTTTGGTGGCAAGTCATATTAGTGGTGACTCTTTTGTTATTGCTACTCTACATGATCTTGTATAGGCGCTTGATTGATGATTAAGATTATTTATATGCAGTTATGTATTTTGTTGTGTAGATTGTACATATATATTTATAAGAACTGTTTCTAGTTTTTTTTCCTATCTTATACACGCACATACACACACACACACACACATATATATATATATATATAT